TAATGTTTCAGACACGCAATTGCATGTAACATTGCATGTTAATTAAAAAGGAAAATTTAAATTAAATGCAAATGCCTGAACTTTAGAGTGTTTTTTTTTTTTTTGTAAAGTTTTAAATAAAACAGAAAATTGGAGTATGTTTTACAAGAAAATACTATTTTGGTTCCTCTACATCAAAATTTCATGTTTAATAGAATGTTGCGTTTCTTTGTTCTTGTTTTTGAAATTTACTCATTTTTGAGTGAAAATTGTTTTCACACTTAATTTGTTTCAGTGTAAACTAAAATATGCTTTAATGTAATTTCTATCAATGTATTAGAATATATTTGTATTTACACAGTTGTAATGATGAAGTAATTTAGTACATTTAAAATATGTTCATTTTAAAATGTAAAATGAAATAATGCACAGTTACAGTTATAATCAAGTACTTTGTATGCATAACGTTAGTCAGCACATCAAAATAAGTGTAAAGCATGACATAAAATTAAAACAATAAATAAAAATGTACGTAATTCAACATTTTTACAGTTTAAAAAAAAGTTTATTTAAAATGACTAAAGTGCACATTTTAAAGTTTGTTAAACATAGTCATGAAAGTGTCTCTCTACTACACTTAAGTGGCCTTTTATTTCATTTAATATTATTGTTAGTACACTTCTTTTTCTCAGTACACTTCTTTTACACAAGGGCTGGTATGTTCCTCTACAGGAAGTTTTTATTTAATTATTTAATGTCCTGTTTTTTAGGATATGTCAGTACAGGAAAGAAAACATCATTTGTCAAGCCTTTTGCTTCAATACAAGGAAACTTATTTTAGCACTTGATAATGTTAGCCGCTCATACTTTTTAGTAGATTGCATTCTACTGAAGACGTCGCTGCATCCAAAGTGCATTTGAGCCCCTCACTGACATGTGGAGCCAAACAGAGGATCATTTATTAACCAGACGCAACACACGGCCTCATGGGACACACTAATCAATAATGCTTTACCTGGCAGGACAGACAACAGCCATGCATGCTTTCAGCAGGCTAAAGTGCTCTGAATCTAATGAGAGATCAGTCTAACAGGAACTCCAGAGACTATTGAACAGAACTGAATTTTTAAACCCGAGTTTTTCATAATCATTATAAATCAAAATAATCCCTTTAAGAGTCACTGTTAGTACTGTGACTACAGAATACAATAATGACATAATATATTTGGACAGAATGCACATAGTTAAAAACACATACATCACAAAAAATATAATAAAATTAATCTAAAATACTAAAATAGTTACTCTACAGCTTTTCTTTGATTACACAGTACAATGTATTGGAATTTTCTAATTACCGTATTGACCCGAATATAAGACGATGTTTTTTTCTTGGAAATACATCTGAAAAAACGCGGTCGTCTTATATTCAGGGTCTAGACTTTGACATGTCAATAATACACCCACAACACTAGGTGGCGCCAAATACGCATAAAACGAGTGTGCCATGAAATACGTAATGTAATGCGTGTTGTAAAGATCGCGAGTAAAAACAAAAGAGAAAGAAAACCTTACAGCTGCATGAGTCGTGACTGTCACGTTAGCCTGATGGCACCAAACTCTCTTTGTGATTTTAAAACGTAAGACAGTACCCAGATTTGAAGACTACAGTAAGATTTAACTTCTACTGTTAATAAGATTTTGGTAGGCTACTATTAGATGGATAGCCTAAATGTCCTAATTCAGATGGGCTACCTGTTTTGTTTTTTAATGGTATATCAAAAAGTGTATATTTTTTAAATGTGATTGTTGGTACATTTTACCAGTTTTTACCATACTTTCAAAACAAAAATGAAAATAGGAAAAATATGCAATATGAAAATAATTGAAGACAAAATGTGTTTTACTGAGAAAAAAACAAGATTTGGTTTTTAAAAAGCCTTTTTCCAAAAGGTACATCTGGAAAAAGGGGGGTCGTCTTATAATCAGGGTCGTCTTATATTCGGGCCAATACGGTAATTGTTTACAGTGTACTCCTCTAGTATTCTGTTGCATTGAGTTTTTAAAGATATTGTTTGACCGCTCGAGTAACACCCTTTGCCATAAGGAGTCGCACTATTTCTGGCAGGGGAAAGAGCCACTAGGAAACGGTCTGAGCGGTCAATGATGGTTACTCTTGCCCAGGAATGGCATCTGAGAGGCGGCATTTAAATTAGCCCAGCGGTTCCTCTTGCAGGAGCTGAGAATAGATGAGCACTGTTGGGTGATGAAGGTTTACGACCTCCAGTGAACTCAAGGTCATCACTCTGAAAATATGAGCCGTAAAACCACTTGTTATGCGCATTTTGGAAAATGGCATTAAAAAAGCTGAATGGAAAAACCAAGATGTGCATAAATTCTAAAAAATGCATATAAAAAACTGAGTTGATCCGATGAGAAACTATGCACATAAACTAGATGGAAACACATTTACGGAATAAATTCCACATTTAAAAATCATGTGACTTGACGGCATAGCTGGACTAACCAGCAGACATTAATGCATGAGCCAAAGTCTGTATAGTCAAAGTGGTTTGCTATTACCTCCCAGAACTGAACACAACTGTGCTCCCAAACAGCAGACATCCTCCTCCGAAAGCAAGATAAAACATGACCGCATTTATTGCGTTTCGTCAGCGAGCTCTGAGGCGCAAGTCATTTATTTTATATGAAAAAAGACCCACAGTGGCTTCTATTGCAGCAAATGACCTTTTTCTTAGTGATATTTGGCGCTAGTTTATCAGGGTTTTGTTATCTTCGTCTTGCTGGATGGAAACACAGCTAGTGAGGTTGCGACGAAAACTACCCGGTCTCATGGCAAAAACGTACCTGGGGGCACTTTTTCGCGAGACGCGAAATACGTACCAATAAGTACATATCACTCCAGTTTCCAAAAGAAATGAACACTAGAGGCAGTAAAACTCCGACACCTTTTAAATTATTACTTTCCTTAAAGGTCCCATGACATGCTGCTTTTTGGATGCTTTTATATAGGCCTAAGTGGTCCCTAGTACTGTATCTGAAGTCTCTTTCCCGAAATTCA